AAAAAATTTTGAAATTAAAGAAAAAATAGAATTTAAGCAATGTTTTTCCTTCTCGGAATAAATAATATTCTAGGCATGTAAATACATAAATGTACAAAATTATAAAAAAAGATTTGGATTTGAAAGAGTTATACTGCACATTTATCTTGACCTACTGTGTTATCTCGGATTGTGCGAAAGCATAAATTCTTTAATCGCAACGGATATACGCACTAATCATTTTTTTCATGCGTGCTCGCCTACTCGCCATATTGCACGCATTTTTTCTATTCGTTTAATTCGTTAGCTATCTCTAGAAAATTTTGAAAATTACAAGTGAAGAATAGAGTGGAGTTAGTGGGGATTAGTTCGTCGACGTATCACGCAACTATTCGTCCAACTCAGGCATGTCGTAGATAAATGCTAATAAATAATGGTATTCGCGAACTCTGTTCGTCTCATCAGGCAAAGCGAGAGAATCCTTCATACAAAGAGAATCGGTTGGACACTCTGTGATTATCCAAGAATCCTTATATCGAATAATTCGAATGCCATCGAAATGAGTAAACCCAAAATCCTAATTACACGGCCAGATATACCCGTTGCAGGCTTAAACTTGCTGCGTAAACGGTGAGACTAATTGCATTTTAAATATTTAAATTATTGTCATTTTTAAAATTTATGTATTGCTTCTTTGTTAATATGACATTGTCTGCTTAATTTCTTTATATTATGTAATTTTATGCCAGCCTAACTTGATGTCATACCAAAGATAAATATGTAACAAGTTCAGTAATATAAATACATATTTCATATACATGTTTATAATTAAATTTAATTTAAGTATCTTTAATACATGTTTGCCATTTATAGATATCATCTTATAATATGGGACAAACCTGAACCAATACCTCGTGTTGAATTAATGGTTAAAATCTATGGAGTAGACGCTGTATTCTGCGTGCTAACGGATAAGATAGATAACGAGGTTCTAGACCATGCAGGCTCGCAGTTGAAAGTTGTGGCATCTATGTCGGTGGGCTTGGATCATATAGACATAAGTAGTTTGCAACAAAGAAACATTAAAATTGGTTATACTCCGAATGTCCTGACTGAGAGCACTGCGGAGCTGATTATAGCTCTTTTATTAGCCACATCAAGAAACGTGGTGCATGCAAACTTAGCAATTTACAAGTATGTATACAAGTATATGGAACATATGGGTTTTGATGATCTTGAGAAATTTTCCTAACTTGTAAATAGTGTAAGATCAATATTACATTTGTCTGTTTTGTTGTATGATAAATTTTCAAATCTGTTAATTGATTATAGGATAGAGAGATCCAAGAACTTCTCTGTCCTGCAGTCAATACATTTGAAAAATTCGTTGTACGACAGAGATGAACAAATGTAATATTAGTCTCATTTAGAATAATTTTATGTTTTATAATCTTATTTTTCACAATTTTCTTCTATTCATGTAGGTTAATTGTTGTGCTGTGTTTATTTTTACGTAGATGAAAAATTTTAAACTTCTAAAACTAATAACAAAAAACTTTAATGGGTTCCATATGTTTCTTTAACATCAGAAAAAGTATTGTTACGGATTAAAGATGTATCATAAAATACCACAATACTTGAAACTGAATATTATTATGTTTATTACAGAGGTGAATGGACATCCTGGTCGCCTGTATGGATGTGTGGCACAGGGCTGGCAGGGAAAGTCGTAGGAATTGTCGGTTTAGGTAGAATTGGTTTCAGAGTCGCTGAGATACTTAAGAGTTTCAACGTTGCCAAGATATTGTATTTTAACAGAACTGTCAAAGAAGAAGCATCTAAGTTTGATGGTGAAAAAGTTGATTTTCCCACGTTACTCCAGAATAGTGACTTTGTCATAGTAACTGTGGCATTGACACCACAAACTAGATATATGTTTAATTCTTGGGCTTTCAATCAAATGAAGAAGACAGCTATATTCGTGAACGGTAGCCGCGGGGATGTAGTAGATCAACAAGCGCTGATTGATGCTTTACAAAATAAGACAATTGCAGCAGCTGGTGTAGATGTTACAACACCAGAACCGTTACCAATAAATCATGAACTTTTAAAGCTAGACAATTGTGGTACGTATATCAATGCAGAGAGATGTGATAAAAAGACGAAAATATGACTGTTCCTGTGACACTTGAAGTAAATAACTTTTTTCGCAATTATTTGTATCAGATTACATGTTTTTATAATATTTTGATACAAAATATTTAACTCCTTAATATGCTATTTTCTCTGTTGTTATTGACAAATATCTTAATAATTAAAAATATATTGTAGGTTTTTCAATCATCGATTATTCACTTATTTACCTTATCAGATTCTATATAGGATATACGATAAATATACGATAAATATCAATCTATATTTGTGTTCTTTTAGTGGTTCTACCTCATATCGGAAGCGCGACCATAGAAGCTAGAAATGAAATGGCTTGTATCACAGCGAAAAATATTATAGCTGTTCTCGAAGGAAATCCCGAAAAAATGCCTGCAGAATATGGAAAAGTAAATTTGTAACACTTACATGATGTATATAATGAGAAATTTCTAATAATCATAATTGTGATATATTTATTCCTCAGTAACGAAGGTAAACCTGTGTAATTTAGTTTTGCAATGATTTATATATGTACATAATACAAAATTTATAGCTTATTTAAGAATATACTGTATAATTATATCAATTAAAAATCAGTCTTTCAAAGTATAAATAAATATTTTCAAATAACATTTATAAGTAATTATTACATATACATTCTATTCATACATTATTATTTGTTCTCTTTATTTGAATTTCTATTACCGCAACATCTTTAATAGTAATAAAACCTGTTCATATGTAGTAAAATGCAAAGCCGTAGTAATAGCGGCTTTTATTTGACTCGGCATTAAACCTTTGAATAGACCTTGCACACCCTCTTCTTTTACCGTCACTTTCAAGCAGTCCAATAATCCGTTGCATTGGAAAAATTTACCGAATCCTTTACGACCGTGCTGGAAACCTTGTATCTGCAATCTCTTTTTAGCGAGATCGAAAGGGTACACAATCGTTTTCGCTATGAGTCCAGCGGCACTACCAGATAACATAGAGTTATAGAAAGTAGTATCGGTGTCGGAGGTGTATCTCTTATAGAGACCCTTGAAGAATTCATAGAATGTAAATTGCAGGCCAGTGTGAGGAGCAATTTGCAATAAAGTCGGTAACAAACCGAAAAAGAAGACCCTCGGGGATTCTTGTCGAAGAATTGAACTGGGAAAAGAGATAAAACAGACATGTCATTCAAATGTAAAAATGTTTTTATAAAGCTAATTTTGTATGCTAGTCAGTAAAACACTGACAATGAATTAAGATCATCAGCAGTACTAATTAATTGAAAGAGTAAATTTTTTGTAACTTGCCTGCAAGAATGTAATATTCCGTTGTATACCCGATGATTACTCGATTGAGCTACTAATCTAGTTCTCATAGTGTCAAAAGGAAACGAAACGATTGTCCCCACACAGCTAGCACTAGCACCGGCGACAAAATGCGTCGTGTGCTGCCATTCCTCAATTTGTGGAACTCGTTGCAGCATTTTCAGGAACACATTATAGGAATAAAACTGTACATACAAACGATGTATGATTAAAAACAGAATATATAAAACTTGAAATTATGGCTGCCAAGTTTTCGACCTATATATAATTTTACAACAATCTTTGTCAATCTGTTTTCAGTTTATATTGTAACTGTATATTGTAAATTAATAAAATTCTTATTATTCACTGACGAAGCTACGTTCACCAGAGATAGAATAGTTAAGGGGTAACGCCACTCTAGTGCTCGAAAAAAAAGACGTGTTTTTGATAATTTTTTAAGGAGATGGGAAATCTGTTTATAGGAGTTTATTATACATGTTCTGAAGTAAATAAAAAAATTTTTTCATTAACATTTTTTTATTTACTTCAGAACACTTCGAAGATAAGTAGGGTTATTAAAATACAAAAATGGCTATAACTTTAACAAGGATATAATGGCTATAAATTTAAAATAGATAAACTTTTTTCATTGTGTTCCCTATCCATTCCTGAAGTTCCACTTGTTATGATCTGTATACTAAATCTTTATTTGTAAAGATTCTTTATCTTAGCAATACACAATGACATTTCTGTCTACTGGAAACTGTTGGCAGCCCTATACATAAATTTAATACATTAGCTGCGACTAAATGATTGAATAAATTTTATTTGATACCTGACCCATTCCATAGGTAATTGAAATTAATTGTGCAGGTACGTGACCCTTCCATAAGGCGGTAGGTCCTTCTTCTCTTAAAATTAACAGAACAGCTTGTGATATAGACTTATATTTGCTAACATGACACCTTGAAATTGGTTCAACCTGCAACTGTAATACAAAAGCATTTATTAATTGCAGGACTGTAGAAAGATACATTAAAATATATCTTACTATGTAAACTGATTTACTTGGAATCTAATTTTTATGACATCCAAAGGTTGACATAGTAATCTCGTTATGAATCCACTGGCAGCACCTGCAACTGCATGATCTGAGAATAACTCAGTTGTTTTTTGTACTGAAAAGCCCATAGTCTGATGGATATTTGTTCAATTAGCATGGAATACAAAATCGTGTAGTTTGTACCGAAGATTAATTTCGTATAAACTTTTTGTATAGATTATATATACGTGTATACACATTTGATAAATTAAAAATCAACGGAATGAAAGAGAGAATCAGTACACCGGTACATATAAGTGACTGTCACGCTCATGGTATTAACATGGTGTATTTAAAGATTTTTAAGAATGTAAATAAAATTTTTACACCACGATTGTTATGAACTCGAAAATGAAGCAACCGGTAAACTCACATTTCCACCGGTCAGCTGTTGCGCCAACCTACTCTAACATTACCTATCCTCAACTACTTTTTAAAAAAAAACCGCGCAAGCCATAGTAGGATCGCGAAAACCTTATCTCGTAGGAATTTCCAGTTGTAAAAGTGTACGATACAAAAACCAAGGAGGAATCAATCACGAGGATGAAATCGTTTATGTGCTTGTTTTGCGTAGCGATCATCGGTTTTGGAATTGCATTGCCGATAAACGAAACTTCTGTCAAAACGATACATCCTATTGTTTCAAACATAGGTAAATGAGAATGCATTATACAGAACGTTTGAGATGAATATATTTTTACAATGCAGATTAACTCTAATCTTGGTTTAATTTACTTCTTTTCTAACTTTTACTCTGGTGAAAATTTTTTTTCAGAATTTTTCATATCTTTGAGAATTTTATGTAAATTCTAAATTTTTTAGAATTTCTGAAATTAAAAAAAATTTTTTTTGTTAGTTTTTATATAAATTATTCGGCAAAGATGTAGATTTTTTAGAATTCTTCATGTATATATGAAATGAATGTACTTTAAATCATCTGTGACTTCTGAAATATTTTAAGATTTCTCATTCTATATATATAATTTCTGATTAAATTTTATTAATCTCTAAAAATTTAAGATTGTTTTCAGACATTCTAGAATGAGAAATCTAAGAATATTTCAGAAATCACATGTATCAAAAATTCCAAAAAAAGATAGAGACTTTCTCAATATTTCTGAAGTGTTCCAATTCGTATAAAAATCCTAAGAAAAATTTTCGTCGGGATAAATCTACGAAAAGATGAAAAGTAAGTTAAATCAAAATTAATTAATATGAATTTATATTGATAAAAATACTAATATATAAGAGTATTAAACTTATTTATTTTATTTCAAAATATCGATGCAATGAAATTGCACGCATTGTGTTAAAATAACAAAATGCAAATTACAGAATAAAAATCCTTTACAGTTAGAACATCGAATAAAGACTTATTACAGCTCTATGAATCGTCGCAAGATGCAGAAGTCCGTCCCGGTTTGTTCGAAGGAGATATAGCCATGACCAGTGAGGTACACCCTCTTCGTATCACTCTTTTTTCATTTTATATCTCTTATAAAACGTGTTTCATATCATTTCCACACAGTATTTCGATTACTGGCGCATCGGTTTACGCTGGGATGTTTTTCCGGACAAACTGTGGGAAAATAGGACAGTTCCTTATGTAATTAGTACTTTGTACGGTATGTTTAGAATAAAATTTTATGTTGTATTCTCCTTAATATACTTGAAACTAATAGAGAATAGAAATAAGAATTAAAAAAAATAATGTATATGATCGTTTCAGATATAGTGGATTACATGAAAATATACAAAGCCATCACATATATAAATTATATGACATGCATAAAATTTGTTCCATGGGATACTAAAGCCAAAGACTTCTTACTGATTTGGCCGATAATATACCCTAAGGGGTGAATATTTTTATATTATAAAAAGAGCGCAGATGAAGCATTGAAAAGAGATGATTAATCTGTTCTTTCTACATCGTGAAATTAATCCACAATTTTAAGAATATTTTTATATTATAAAAAACGCAGATGAAGCATTGAAAAGAGATGATTAATCTGTTCTTTCTACATCGTGAAATTAATCCACAGGTGCTGGTCATTCGTGGGGAAATTCGGTGGAGCTCAGATACTCTCCTTGGAACCACCGGACGAAAAGGGACCAAACTGCTTGGAAAACGAGGGAAGAGCGATACACGAGTTAATGCACGCTCTCGGAATCTTTCACGAGCACAGTCGCGCCGATAGAGACATGTATATAGATATACACTACGACAATATTATCCCTGGTAAATCAATATTTTAAAAATTGTACAATCATAATACAAATCAATATAATTATATTGCATACAAAAATTACATAATTATATATTTTATATATTATGTGAAGATAACGTATGTATTTTTTTATCCATCTTTTTCGTTATAGAATTTCGCTCAAATTTCAATAAGCAATCGCCGGAGAACGCGACATATAGTTACGAGTATGGATACGACAGTATAATGCATTACGGAAGCCATTTCTTCAGCATAGATCCTACAAAACCGACTCTAACTCCGAAAACACCTGGCGTGACGATCGGCCAACGAAAAGCGATGAGTAAGATAGATTGTTTAAAACTGAACGATCTCTACGGATGTTTGGATAAACCGGAACAAGCGCGAATATATTATAATATTTGCAAAACGTTAGGATTATAAATATCAACTAAAATTAATTTATAGATATATTCTTTTCGAGGTGGTAAAAGACTATACTTGCATAGATGAAGAAATACGAATCAAGACACACAATCTGCTTTATAATTTATATTATAAAATTTATAAAACTTTTAACATAAAAACATACTTTATGTATAATATATGATGTACATATATCTCTCTAATATTTTATATAATTTATATTAGAAAATTATATAAAAAAAATTTTTAATCCAATACGTCAATGTTTTCTCATGCTCAAATTTATCTGCAACTTGAATAAATTCATGTTTTATCATCAGTTCGCCACTGCATGAACGATATTGTGGAAAGTGCCAAGTATTCAACCATCCTTATCCACAGGTTCCTCTCATCTTATTTTCCAATATATTCTGTAATTTCAAATTTATACATAATTAGAATTTGGTTTTAAAATGTTTGCAATTGTGAAAATAATAATTTAAACTATCAGTTCTTCTTAGAGGTATAAGGGTGTGTATAATCACAGTAATATCATATACCTATATCATCATATAAAAATCTTTAATATATTCGTTAGTTTTTATTAATTATGAAAACTTACTTTTAACTGTCATTTGCAACATTTTCTTTGCGCAAATATTATATTTGCATTAAATGTTGTCTGCATCATTGATCTTTCAGCTTTTCAGGTCAGTGTTAAATTTCCAAGCTTTCACATTTTTTCTTAAGTTGGAAAATATCCAAAAATTATGAATAAAATCTGGGCCATATATTGAATGGTCCGACTATGCACCAGCATTGCATAGCTTTTATCCACCAATGTAAAGCTTGGCATTATTTTGTAGAAGAGATACCACTCTTTGTTTTAGATTCTCTTATTGCTTATCGTTTGCTTCAGAGGAATATATAAAGCATTGATGTGTAATATTCTTTATTGAGAATTTGTCCTCGAAATCCTACAAAATCAAGAATAATTAGATTATGTGCGTCCGTAAACTTACAAAAGTATGCATTAGCATACTTTTCTAAGGATTAAATGTCGGAAACTTAGAGAAACGGCTCCAGACAGTATCGTGTGGATTCCGAAGGCAAGTTCCCTCTTTCTTTACCTCCCACAAGCATTCATGCTCCAGCGATATACGAACTGGAGGCATGCCAAAATGAGAGGACACCAAATCGCCACGTTGATAGAAAAATGACACAAGTAAAAAACTTTTTTTGTATTACAGAATTGCAATATAGAATTGCAGTGTTTGATTTTAAAAATTTATGACATAATTTTTGAGAATATGTAATATATAATTGAAAACATGACACGGAGAGAAAGTGAAGTTACGCTTATTCATTATCTTGATTAAAACATTCTAATCCAGAATTTAAAAAATGCTCTACAAAAAGTTACTAATTATGAGATGTGTTATTTTTCTATCACCGCAGCGAAATATCATATAATTACACAAAATAGAAAACTTTTAAGAATAATAATTTTTAAAGATAAATAACCGTTCTTCGTTCGAGATTGCAATATGTTTGTTATTTTTAGAGTAGATTCGTTCTAACCGCGTGCTAAATTAAGCCACGTGGCGACCGTGAATCCCAAAAGAAAACGGTTAGAAACACGATTCATGGAACGCGAATTTGGGTAGAATATTTACGAATATTTCCGCACAAGGAATAACCGGTCAACCATGTGAAAATTTCAAAACTATAAATAAATAGAAATAAATGCATTGTAATAAGGTTACGAAAAACTAAGAGGAGATATCTTACCCGAGCAGCTGCCAGCGATGAAAAGAACGAATGGAAAGGAACGAACGCCAACTATCATTAAAAGAAAACGAAGTGTGTCTGAAAGTAGGGAACTTCCGGTATTGAAGGTGCCTTCTCATGTTGACGCTCGACGACCATCTTTAACGGCTTAACAGGTCACGTGATCAAAATTGACGCTTGATATTCGTCAATTTTTGTCACGTGACTTGTTTGACGCTAAAAATGAGCGTCGAACATCAGCATGAAAAAACACCTTTACATTACAAAACATCCTCTCCGAAGGGTGGCACCCAGTTGGACAAGGCTCAATTGGACACGAGCCACTCACAGCGCTTGAAGGCCCGTCTACAATACACGGAGTAAGAAGTAAGAGTAAGAAATTGACCAATCACAATCTAAAGGCCCGTCTACAATACACGGAGTAAGAAGTAAGAGTAAGAAGTTGACCAATCACAGTCGATTATTCTTCTCACATTCGACTGTGATTGGTCAATTTCTTACTCTTACTTCTTACTCCGTGTATTGTAGACAAAAGCTTTAAACTATGTCAAACAAGATAAGACGTGTAGGATAATGTGAGATAGAATGTATAGGATAAAATGAAATAGAAATATGTCGCTAGTACTATAAATGGCTGCCAAGTCACGCAATTGGTCAGATAGCAACAGCGAATTAGAATGCATAACACCGGTTGCGCCTCTCTGATAAATCTAGAGGTGCGTTCCGTATCGCGCATGATGCGCATGATGCATCCATTGTCCTTGTTTAACATTTGGTAAGCAACAAGGATAAATGATGCATTATGCGCATCATGCGAGAAACGGAACGCACCCTAGGACTCTAATCCGCGGCAGCTGACGGTCCCTCTCCTCTCCGTCTATTTTTAAAAGCGCAATACGTGCCAGCGTGACGTTTCGCGCGCGAACGCACGCGAACGTTCTCCAACGCTGAGACAAATGTCGCGAGCGGGCGAACGCAGGTGAACAATATTACTCAACAAATCGCGCGTATCTTGCTAATTCGGTGCGTGTCGATCTCTAGTTCGAATCGTGATTCCGATCATCGCCGGCGTTCGACAGAGAATAAACAGGGCAACGACGTAAAATCGGAGCGCGAGATGTAAAATCGCAGTTGTTTGAAAGGAGCGAGAGGAGTCGTTGATCGAGCCGTTTCCCGATAATATTCGGCGGGTCGAAGACGTCGTCCGGGACTCGCCGACTGCCGAGTGGAATTCTCTCGCGACCACCGGAAGCGACAGGTTGTCGGTGTCCGCGCCGCGCGCGCATCTACGACTCTCCGTTCGTTTGTTTTCGTTTCGACGCACCGGCCACCACGTATCTCCCCAAGATTCGGTCTCGCGTCGTCGAGTGCCTTTGCGCGACGTTCGCGATCCTGTCGCCCACCGCGTTCACCCACGACATGGCTTCGTACGGGCGATATTGTGGCAGAAACAATCAGGAGCTCGTGCAACATCTGCGGCGTAAGTGTCCACGCGTGGTTATGCAATGTTGTGTCATCGAGGTCCCCCCTCTCCCCCCTTCGATCGCTGCGTGCCTGGCGTCTAGCTCGTTGACGTCGAGATTAGACTTAGAATTGCAACGCAGTTTATGCAATATTTGTAATCTAATCGAGTTCGAGCCACAAAATAAAAAATGGCCAATCATTGCTTTTGCGTTTGACTTTGGAGTAATTTAGTTAAAAAAATAGACACATTTATATATGTATGTATGTGTGTGTATGTGTACAAAATAATTTCAAAAATTAATAGAGAATATAATTTTATTATATTTTTGCATTTTTATTTATGTTATTCAAAAGAAATAATAGATATATTGCATGATAAATTATTTCAGAATGATCAAGTTTGATAATATTTGATGTAATGAGTTATTTTGTGGAGGAAATTTGGAGCAGTTTAATTTGAAAAACACATACACATGTTTATGCACATATACATGTCTCTATATACAAAATTATTTAAGAAATTAATGAAGAGAATATAATCAAGTCAATTTTATTATATTTTTTACATTCTTATTTATGTCATTCAGCAGAATATGTTTGGGAAAATCATTTTAGGGTCCAGGGTAATCAAATCTGACAGAGTATATGAAGTAATGAGTTCTGTGGACAGAGGAAAATACACTCATCCCGCCAATGCCTACATAGACGTACCACAAGGAATCGGTTATGGCGTTACCATCAGCGCTCCTCACATGGTATAATACAATGTATTCTTTCCTTTGTGTACTTTATATTCTGTCTTTTGTAAAACTGTCAATATCATGTAATGTCTACAAATTAATACTCGGTTTCCATTATGAGATAAAAGATCACTTGCAAGAGAGTTATGTTTAAAAGTAGAGCATTTTAGTAGTAAATAAATAAATTTGCCCACTGACAAAAAAACACTGAAAAGGAAATTACAAGTTGGAAGACAAACGGAAATTCTTTAGCACGCGTATGCCCTGGAATTGCTTGAAGAAAAGCTGCGTAATGGCACAAGGGCACTGGACGTTGGTTCTGGATCCGGATACTTGACAGCATGCATGGCTCTTATGATGGGACCACAGGGAGTGGCCGTTGGAATCGATCATATTCCAGAGCTTCGAGCATTGGCAGAAGAGAATATTCGGCACGACCACCCAGAACTGTTGACCGATGGACGCGTAGAATTAGTTGGTAAGTAAAAATCTACTTTTAAATAATACGTAACGCATGCTGTTTGGCATGTCACAAACTGTTCTCCATGTGATGAAATTATTCGATTCATTCTTCATGATTGCACTTGTTTAGTTGGTGATGGAAGATTGGGATATCCAAATCGCGGACCATACGATGCTATTCATGTGGGAGCGGCCGCCAAAGAAATGCCGCAATCGGTAAAAAAAATCTTCGAAATTATTGTCAGATATGTTGGAACAAACACTACAATATTTTCCATCTTATAGTTGATAGATCAATTGGCACCTGGTGGACGTTTAATAGTACCTATGGGTCCAGAAAATTCGGATCAAACCTTAGTGCAGATCGACAAGACTCTGGATGGCAAAATCAAGCAGCGATCCCTTATAAGCGTGGTGTTTGTTCCTCTCACTGACAAGGAACGACAGTATCGTCGATCATGAGGCACGTGCCTGCTCCAATAAGTGAGCGCTATTTTATTTATGTTTGTGATTATGTTTATTACTTCGTTATTTTGAAATCTCATGCGAAACAGCTCTATTCGCGTAAAAAAATATTTATATATAAAATTATTTAAATTATATCACAATCTGTAAGCACTATACTGACACATTTTTGCACAGCATAATTGTTATGAATCAT